TTTTGAGACAGAGTCTTGCACGGCAACCTCCAACTCCAAGGTTCAAGCGATTCTCCTGCTTCAGCCTCCTGACTAGCTGACACTACAGGTGCACACTACCATGCTAATTTTTGCATTTTTAGTCAAGATGGGGTTTTGCCATGTTGGCCAGTCTGGTCTCTAACTCTTGACTTCAGGTGATCCACTCACCTCAGCCTCCCAAAGCGCTGGGATTACAAGTGTGAGCCACCACTCCTGTCCCGTCTCCAAACTTAGAGGTTTAAAAGGATGAGGATTGGGCTCGTTGCAGTGACTCATACCTACAATCTTGGCACTTCGGGAGGCCAAGGCAGGAGGACTTCTTGAGTCCAGGAGTTCGAGACCAGTCTAGGCAACATAGTGAAACCCTCTCTCTAAATAAATAAATAAATTAGGATTCATTTCATCTTGAGTCTGCAGGTTGGCTGGGGGCTGGCTGATCCAGGATGGCCTCATTCTTACCTCTGTGGTGGCAGGACCTGGGCCCTGCTGACTTTGCGTGGGTGCTGTCAGGACCTCAGCTGGGACAGTTGGGCACCCAGCACGCTGCTCCCTATGGCATCTCCTCTTCCTCCAGTGAGCTCAGCCTAGCACGTTCATGTGGCAGAGGCAGAGGTCCTGAGAGAGCATGGAAGCAAACAAGACCTTTGTGGCCCAGGCTGGAAACTGGTCCAATGCCACTTCCGCCATAGTCTGTTGGGCAAGGAAAGTCCCAGGTCAGCTCTGAGTCAAGGGCTGGGAAGCAGACTTCACCACCTGATGGGGATGCTGCAAGGCCGCATTGCAAGGGCATGGTCACGGGCAGAGCAAGGTCTCTGGCCATATCTGCTAACAGTCCACACGGGCGCCAGCTCAGCAAACGAGACGCTGGAATTCAACAGGTCGCATGTGGACACCTAAGACAAACACCTGGTTACCTGCAGAATGCATGATAATCTCCATGACGCCCGGAGAGCATCGTGCTGTCCAGGGCTTCCTGGCAATAGCTCTTAGTGGGATGTAGGCGTTCCCTGTGTTCTGTGTAGGGAACTATGCTGGCTGGTGGTCTCAATAATGATGATAATGGCCAGGCGCGGTGGCTCACACCTATAATCCTAGTACTTTGGGAGGCCGAGTACTTTGGGAGGTGGATCACTTGAGGTCAGGAGTTTGAGACCAGCCTGGCCAACATGGTGAAATCCCCATCTCTACGAAAAACACAAAAATTAGCTGGGTGTTGTGTTACATGCCCATAGTCCCAGCTACTCGAACTCCTGGGCTCAAGCAATTCTTGATCCTCAGCCTCCCAAAGTGCTGGGATGTGAGCCACTGCACCTTTTTCGATGCTTTACAACAACCTTCATGTAGATTGGTATCGTTACCCCTATTTTATAGATGAAGAAACAGAGGCACAGAGAGGTTAAGTAACTTGCCCAAGGTCACACAGCTACCGATTTGAACATAGGCCACAGCATTCCAAAGCCCTGGATAAGAATGCAGGCATGTGAATTGCACTGAGGGAAGCTGATGAGACGGTGCAGTCCCATAGTGGTCCCCATTGCAATCTGGCCTGAACCCTACCCTGCTCCCCCACCCCTTAGGTTCCACAAGCTGGTGATCGATGACGTCCGCCCAGAGGATGAGGGAGACTACACGTTCGTGCCTGACGGCTACGCCCTGTCGCTCTCGGCCAAACTCAACTTCCTGGGTGAGGATGCCCCTTCCTCCTTCCCTGGGGGCTGTAGGATCCACCTTCCCAGACCCAGGGCCCGGGATGTCCCCCTCCAGGATTAAGGTTCCCTGAGTGCGAATGAGGACGACAGCAAGCCTCTGTCCCGCTCATGGCTGGAGTCAGAAGATGGAGGGAGAGCACTGAACTCACCGCCGCCTGCCGCCTGGGAGGAGGGGTGGCTCCTGGGCCTGAACCTGTCCCCAGCATCCCAGTTCCCAGGAAGACTGCCAGACCCCATCACCTCTTCCTCTGGGCTGTGAAGGTGGGGTGAGGGGCCTGCTGGATTTAGACCTAACCGTCCACTCTTCTTTGTCTTCCAGAAATCAAGGTGGAGTACGTTCCCAAGCAAGGTGAGCACCACGGGCTGCGCTGGGAGAGGGTCCGAGGGAGGAGGGGCGGGGCTGAGGGAGGAGGGGAATGGCCGAGGGAGGATAGGCGGGGCGAGGGCGGATGGGCGGGGCGCGGGAGG